GTGATCTAGTAGTATGAATGCTGAAGTCAGTTACTGAAGATGCAATTATTTGAAACAGCAACATAAGCTAGTAATGGCAATTAACTGTTTACCAAGCATGACAGATGTGTGTGTGTGGGGGGGGGGGGGAAGGAACAATCACAGTTCTATTTATACATTTATATCCTGACCTTCCAGTGTCTGTGGGCCATTTAGAGTGGCTCACAATACTTTAAAACCACACGAAAATGTGAAAACACACATTCAATAAAAATAGAATAAAGTACAAAAATGTCTTCACCAATCAGCGAAAAATATCTATAGGGAATGCCACCTACACTTCACAGGGTGAGATGTTTCACAGTATTGGTATAATCCTAACCACCAGTGATCTTGCTTAGGAAGGCAGGAGAAATGCCCTGTGTGTTTATGGGAAGTTGATGGTCCCCTTTAATAAACATTAGAATGGCAAAAAGCACCAAGTTCATGACCTGTTCCACTGCAGCAATGTCATCATTCCTGAAAACACCCCCAGAAACAGTAACACTCACTTACAAGGCAGACGAAACTGCAGAAGCCACCCGCAGATCAGTACCAGCCAGAAGACAGAGTGGGGCCAGTCCTGGGATTCATGCCCAAATGATGGCCCAGGAATCCTGGAGACTTTTCTACCTGGCACGGGTAGCTACAGCCCACATATTGCCAAGTACTGTTTGTTGTTCTTTTGGTACCGCTGTCTAAATGGAAATAATGTGTCTTTGTTGGCTTCTCTGTTATATAAGCAGCTGTCGCAATTTTAATCTTACACATTAATTCAGATAAATGCTGAAATACATTTTTGTGACTTCCCCCTTTATACTGTTGTACAGCTGTGAAAATATTTTCTTGAAATAACTATTAAACTTACTGAAAATATTTGGACTATAAATTGTTGCAATGATTGCCTATATTAAAATAAAGAGAATTGAAACAAAAAGAAGGTAATATTGGGTGGGGTCAGAACCCAAATCAGAACCTTTACAAAAACTAGGACAAAAGTCAGTTTGCCATCCCAGCTACACTGACTGCTTTGGTGCCCATAATCACGTCAATATATGTACTAAAATAAGCAGTTATACAACTCTTTGTGTATAGTGCAGAGGCACTACTTGTATGTTGTAAGCAAAAACCATTAAACAAGCAACCTTTTTTAGCACCATTGGTCTGCTTCCAGGTGTCACCAGATTTAAGCTAAATGACTACTAACCAGTAATGATCAAACCTGTGTATGATGGAAAAAGTCAATCTCTTAAAGTTCTTAATGTTAGTTTTAACACTTTACATTGTGTTGATAGTTATAAAATATGATCGTTTATTACCTATGTTAAAAAAGAATGCATCAAGCTTACCACCCTGGTTTATTTACATGGATCTTTTATCAAAACATTTCTATTAAGATGTAATGTTTCCTAGATTAGGTCATAAATCTGTAATTTAGAGATGACTGAACCCAGTGTCATAGAGGCCATGTTTACAGGATTTGTATCTCCATACTTGTTCTATGTATGCTTTTAAGACACATATACAGATATACTTTATACAAACCAGAATATGTGTTGTTAAGAACTGGAGTCTAAAGAGAAATTCTGCATACACATTTTTTTTAACTCAACTGTAGTGTGTGTGTGTGTGTGTGTGTGTGTGGCGGCGGGGGAGGTTTGACTTTGTTGAATACCACTTCCAAAGTTCCTTTGTGGTAGCTGTTTGTTTGTATGTGGATGGAGACTTGGTCCATTATTCATTAAAAAAGCAGGATTGTTAAAACCATTGTTAATAAGTGAGTACAGCTTCCAGCTTTAAAAAGCCCTGGCTTCACAAAGCATCATAATGTGATCAAAACAAACAAACAAACAAACGAACAAAGTGTTCCAGGCTTGAATCTAGGCAGGTGCTCTGGTCAGGGAATGTGCTGCGGGTCAGGGAGCTGAGGGTTCAGACAGGACTATGTGGTGCTCCCCAGAATAGACATGAAACTCACTGAGAAGCTGAAAGTATTACTCCAGCACTGCTCTCCCACTGGGGGAACATGGCTGGAAGTGAAAAGGAAAGTGTGTTCTGTAATGCTCCAGTGGGCTGAAAGTGCTTTTGGACTTGGTAGAATGGAAAAGGAGGTTTAGCGTGAACTGTCAGTAGTTCAGGGCCAGTGGGAGTCATATGAGTTCAAGGAGGAAGGCAGAACCATCTTCTACGGAACCGGAGGTAGGCATTCTCTCCACACAGACCTTCCCTTAAGGCTCACTTAATCATCTCTTTTCTTGAGATGCTGCTTCTTCTGAGCTAACGCTTCATGTCACAATATAGCTAGTGATGGGAGAACCAGGTAAGCTCATTTCCCAAGCTTCAAAGCTTAGTTCAGCTCACTCCCGTTCTCATGGCAGTGCTTTTGGAGAAGTGGCTGCTTGAACGGGGAAATCCATACTTTCAAAAATGCAAAACTTTCTCATATTGACTGAAGAGAGAAAATGCGAATTTCTAAAATTTCTGAAAAGTGTGGACTTTAAAAATGGCACACTTCAAAACGTGCATTTTAAAATTGTACACTTGCGCATTTTAATGTGTTCACCTCCTCCCCCCCAAATTGACTAGAGCAGTGATTCCCAAAGTGGGTGGTGATTAGTACAGCAACAGACCTAATACAAAGAAAGAGGTGTGGGGTGCTAGGGTTGTTGCCCAAGAGGAGAGGGGGCAGCCCTTTGGGGTCCACTGGACTAGAGTGTAGAAATGCAGATTTTTAAAAGTACATTTTGAAAGGGCAAGGTGAGTAACTCTCCAGCTTACAATGGCATAGTGCAGAAACGTTCAACCTCTTGAAGTAAAACTAAGCTTAAGAATGAGCTTAACATGCACATGTGCACTGTTAGACCTGTCATCCCTAGCACAAGGTTGAGGAAGGCTGCATAGGAGAAATTTGGAAGGAAAGAGAAAATCCCAAATGCAATGCAATGTTTTAAAAACAGCAAAGGAAATGATGTGGATAATGAAGTGGGAGAGGAAGGGGGACACTGGGTGCTAGTGTAGCATTTTAATTTTTTTCTCCTTCATGTTTTTGTTTGTTTGTTATAGAATGAGAAGATGGAAGAAGCAGCAGAAATGCACAGGCGCCTGACAAGTGGAAGATGCGCACACTCACAAAGCAAAACTTCATGAATGAAGCAGGGTGATTGTAAGAGGCAAATCTGTGTCCAAATATGTATAACATTTCTATCTGAACACAAAATGTTTTCATAACTTTATCTTCTACCTCATGTTTAAAGTGTATTCACCCACTATCTAGACCAGTAAATACATAGTACAGTATTAAAATTAGTAGTTTACTTTTTAATTTCAATAATAGTGTGTTAGTATTATTGTGACGTAACTAGAACAGCAATAGAATATGTACCTCTGAGCATATGCAGAGTGTTTTTTGATCTTCACAGGCATGTTTGTATTTTCACTGTTGCCAAGAGTCCCCCCACCCCCCAGGGAATTCTGGGAAGTATAACATAAAGTAGCATGACTAATTACTAGGAAATTACTGGAAGCTCGATCCTAACTAATACATCATGTCAAATAATCCTAACTAATAAACTCTTTGTTCTATCACTTCAGAAATATGAAGCACATTGAAACCATTATTAAAAACAGAGAACAGTTTAATTGCCGCCATGCCATCTGTTTTTCCAGAGGACACCTCATAAAACCTATGACTTAATGAGCATCTTCAATACCCTTGGGTCTGGAAAGAAGAGTTAGGGTATCAAAAGTTACTCAGAAGTTTTTTTTTTTTTAAATTTATTTAAATGGTTTTATTGAAATGTTTTGAAATACTTCTCAACTATCATGCCTACAATGTAGGCTTCTGAATAGGTGCATAAATTAGTTTTCTAAACATGTCTTAACTAAACTGCACTGTCCAAACACTGCCTTATGGTATCAATCCTCTCATTGTCCAGATCTTTCAGAAGTAATGGCCCTCTTTTCAGAAAGAGATACTGCTCCTTTCTGTAAATTCCAAGGTAGCATCTTAAGCTACTTCTCAAGTCATTTTTTTCCATTTTTGTCCCTAGCCTCAGTGTTGCGTTTAAAATAAATCAGAAGATAACTTGATTCTTCTCATTCAATGATACCCCTTCTTAAGTGGTTCAGCGCTAAGTTGGTGAGGACCAACAGTAGGAATGTGTCTTTATCCACAGGCAGCCAAAAATGTACCATCTCATCTTGGAGTAATTTATTCAATAAGATGATTTAGGGGACAGTTCAATGGCACCAGTTTTGGAAGGAAAAAGCAAAGGGGAAGGAATATAAATCAAAGGTGACTGGCAGGTAAAGGATATATGCAGCAATCAGCCAAACCATGTGCACACTGGCACAAATTCAACAAGATCATTTATAAAAAATTTAAGTCGGGAATACACAAAAGGGGGTCTGGTGCTAACTAAATCCACAGATAGATTACACGCCACTGAAATAAACACTTCCAGATGCTGGTGTACAAAAACCTTTCACAGAAAGAAATGTTTTCTTTCATAAATTTGAAGGGAGGAACCTTGGGTAAAGGGGAGAGGAAAACAGGGGCTCCATACTGAGACCTGACTTCCTACTGCTTTTACGGAACTGGTCATTTTTTCCAAATACATAGTGTAATATACAAGAAAACAATATCCTGAAATATAGCACTAACTATGTAAAGTTTAATATAATCATGGTTTGGTAGCAAAAAGAGCACCTTGGGGTATTTAATAAAGCACATAAAACTGATGCGGCCCCACTGATTTTAACTCCATTTCAACATGGTAGGAATTTTGCCCTTAAAGAAAACAGAATTTACGGAGTATTTTCTCCACCTATTTACATAAAAATCTTTTATGCTTGGAGAGCAGTTAATAAATTATGCAAACGATATAGGAAGGATCAGTTTTCAGCATTTGATCCCAACATACTTAACAGTACAGGCTGCTAAGACAGGCTGCCTCACACTGCAGTGCTCTGCCTGGTTTTGACAGACACCTCAACGTTTGTGTTGGTTTCCGAAGAATAAGAATGCTGACTTTTAATCCCGATAAAGACAAGAAATGCTGGACTGCCTGTGCACTGCTTTTCTTCTTATTTTATTAGGCTTCATATGAGTTATGCTATTGCTGTTTAATGCATGTTCATCGACAATGCACTTTAGAAGTTGGTTCAGGTGATTTTGGGGGAATGCCCTTTCCATGTCCAGCAATCATCCAGTTGTGAGAGATCTCACCTGCAGCAACTCCATCAGGCATCTGCCATTTCCTTTGCTCTCCCTGCCTCAGTGAGCATCCAGCCCCTTCCTTGGAACTCCCCCGACTTGCTTCAACTGGACAGAACAGCAACACGTCCCATTCCATATACGGAAACTAGAACATGTGTTAATGAGAAATGTTGAACACTTCTGAACTGTTTCTTTGAAGAAAAGTTTTGAATCAGCTCTTGTTCTTGGGGCTTTTTTAGGGTGTGCAGCATCTCGTAAACTCTGTCACAAATCCAGTAAGTATTAACTCTGCCACCTATCACTGCCTGCTAAGATCACTATGGCAATGTTGATGATTTGTAACATACATGACTGAAACACGAGGGAACATGCAACACCCGCAGCAAGACTCTGCAGCAGGCCTGAGCGAGAGCAATGGGAAGGAGAGAGCAGCAGTGTCTCTCCAGTCCTATTTTGTATACATTTCAATGCTGCTTTTAGAAAGCCAGAACCTTACAAAGAGAGAAGCAGTATAAGAAGAAAGTGGCATGCAGCCAAAAGAAAATCCAGCCATAACCAGCAACAAGTGGAGGCTGAAGCATCAGTCAAGGAAATGTTCAGGAAACCAGAGCACAGCCATTAGCCAAGAGTAGAGTTAATGCTGGCGGCTGCTTGGTGGGATCTCCACGTGTCTAACAAGATGCGCAGCAGTGGATGATTTACCACAAACAGGGTGAAAGGTTGGGGCTGGCCTGGCCTGGGCATTAGAAAAGGGAGGATAATTTGCTCTTTTTATTAATATTCACAGGGCAGACTAAACCTTCATTAATTCAGTATTTGGGATAAAAGAATGGTTGCATCAAATTATATTAGAGTGCCTTACACTAGCAACTTTTATGCTGAATTTAACATTTCCAAAATTTAACATTTTCTAACAGAAAGCAAGCAAGCAAGCAACAAAATGAACACACCAGGGAACTTCTGTTTCAAATAGTCCCTTTACATTCTTATTAATATACATTGGGCTATAAATGATCAACTCTAATATGCAATCTTCCATGAATGTAAATTCTTTATAAAACAAAAATTATAATTGATACATCTCAATCCATTAGCTACAGTCAGGCACTCCAACACTGTTGCAGGTGCTCCAGGGAAGTGCTCCATACCTCAGCTCTTCAGTGGAACTACTGCTGCTAAAAGAGCACAGTGTCACATGGGAAAAGATATAGGACGAAAGGGCACACATATCCAGATATTAATCATGCAGTTTTAAAAATGCTGTGATGATCCTTTTAAGCTACAATATAGCAAGAAGAGTATTTATTTTGAAACTGAACTGCATCCTACTGGATTCTTGTCCTCTCTCCTCCTCCTCTACCCACTCTCCTGCCCCCCCCCCCCCCAAACATGTCATTCCTCCTCTGCTGAGGTTGGGACACCAGCCCTGGGAGAAGGTGCTATTATGAAGCCTTCTTTGATGGCTGGGAATTGTGGAAGAACCACGCCCAGATCTTCTGACATGCTGTCCAGGGGCCACTACATTTTTCAAGCTGTTGTATAAAAGTTGCTAAAACAAAACAAAGCAGGAACAAAGGAAATCTGGTTCAGCTTGGTGAGCATGTGATTAGATTACTTTACAGGACGGCTGCAGTGGATTTTGTAATAAAATGTAATACCTGGATTCTTAATAAGACAAAGAAAAGAATATTCCACACAGATAAATTCATGACAACACTTGGTATTGTTACTAGAACTTTCAGAATAGTTAGGAATTTTGCATTCTACTCCTAGAGTTGTCAGAAAGACATCATCAGTCTTGAACTTTAAATTATTTTAGATGGAGATGATATTGGACATGCGGAGGACACCTTAAATTGCTTTGCAGCTTAGCTGTGCCCTGGCCCAAACTGTGTATTGAGCTATTTCTCTCCTTTAGGCATAGGCAATACACACTTGGAGACCGCCAACACAGGGAACAACTTAATGTAGCTATGTGGTGGTCATATCATATGCAACGACCCTTAGCTTTCCTATTCTGTGTTACATCCTGTATTAAATTGATATGAAATTTAAACTCTGGCAAATGGCCAAGAAGAAAAATGCTTTGCAAGTGCAAAGTCTATATATTTCTTTTTAAACAATTTCCATCGCATGGCATCAGTCTATTCCCACTAGAGAATAAACTTATTTTTCATTTATAAGATTATTTTTCATTTAGTTAGAGACACTTTTTGGCCTTCTGCCATAACAACTTCACCTGAGGTGCTCAATAATCTCTCGGAAACTCTCAGTCTGTCATATTTTAATGCTTCAGCATAAAACAACACTGTCTATTGAATGACTATATTGTTAGCACAAGTGGATTAATCTTAAATCAGCAACATATATGAAGGGAACTGGGCAAAAAAATCTAAAACTGCAAATTATTCAATCATACAATTTAAATGAAGACAAAGTGGGGAGCTATAATACGATATGTTAAATGATAATTCAGCACTGGGGCTTCAAGCTAATTAATGATTGGTTCAGCCACCATATTCCTCTTAACTGATTATATTAAAATAAATATTCATATTTCAAAACATTAATGAAATTGCGTTCTTTAAACCACTAAGGAACAGGGACCATCTGTGCCAATTTAGAGCTCAAGCTACTACATATTATCAGAACAGAATCCATTATTGAATATTTCCCCATCCAATAATTTTTGGAACATACGTCATAAAACTTTAGACAGACAGACATCTCACAGTTACAAAGAGGAAAGAGACTTTGATGTCTCAAAGCCTGCTATTTTTGCTCGATTTTAGCCAGATCAATTAATCAAGCGGTAACTACTGATTTCATAGTATGACTTCAGTTGATTAATGCTTGGGATCCCATTCAAGACCTAAGCAAAGACAAAACTATTTCCCATGGGACATGAATCAGAAATATATGGCAAATGAAACTCAGGATTCACATTGCTAGAAAAACCAAAGAGAACTTGATGGGCTTGAACAACCCCATCCCTGCTTTCCCCCATCAGCTCTCCAAGGGAGGCACGTGGACAGGGAGCGCAAAGGGCAGTGAAAGTCTGCACGTGCTTTCCGAACCTCCATCCAGTCTTTCAGCACTGTCAGATTTAGCTACTTATGCTTCATTGGATTGGGCCAAATGTATTTGTTTCTGATGAAATGTTTGCGTTTGTGTGAAATAATTGCCACTTTGCTTATATTGCTAAAATGCATTTGGTGGCTGGATTATTTAACATTATCTGTTTAGAAATATATTTAATTCACGTATAGAATGGGGACCCTGTTATACAATTGTGTGGAAAACATAACCTAATTATGCTATCAATTATTTAAACAATACTACATAATTTCCATGCTTATTACCTGCCCTAACCTTACCAAGAGGCAAGTCAAGAAAGCTGCCCAGGGTCACACTCCTCTTCCAGCTAGGGAGAGGTAGGATAGTAAACTCCCACCTTAGGAACACAAGGGTAAGATCCAGAGATAAAGTACCATAACCAGGAAAGGCACAAAGAACAGTGATGAAATGTGAGCAGTATAATAGCAGTGGATGAGAGATCACGTTACATTGCACTTAGATACCTCTGTTTTTGCCCTTGTGAGGTAATCAGGGCATCTTACATAACTCCATTTTATCCTCACAACAACCCCAGTGTGGTAGTTTAGCCTGAGAGTCAGTGATTAGTTCACAGTCACCCAGTGAGCTTCATGGTCAAGAGCCTGGATCAGGACCTGATGCCAAGGGATCCCATGGAATGTTTGTGGTAAAGAAACTGGTACTGATCTGGGTACCTAGAAGGGACAATGTTAGGAAAGCAAGACAAATAGAGAGTGTTGGCCCCATAAGTAGAAAGGGTTCTACTATTGAAAGTAGTAGAAAGGGTTCTACTACTTCTAAGGCTATTGCATAATTTTGGCCAGCATACAATCACACAATGAACTATCTGAGTGATCCCCACAGTCGGGACAAAAGGTGAACTCTGAAGTACATTTAGTGGTCCAGTAATTACAGAATTTAAAGGGTTTAGATGTTTAAAAATATACATTTGTCTTGTTGTGAAATATTTGGAAATAAATGGTGTGAGCACATTAAAAAAGAAGAAAAGAAGAGAGCTCTGCTGGTTTATAGCAATGATCCATCTAGTTCCAACAGTGAGTAGACAAAAGCTTCCGGGAAGCTGCACATCAGTAAGGCACACAGCTGTTGTCCTGACATTCAGAGGCTTTTGGCCATCGTGGTTAATAGCCATTAACGGACTTACACTCTAGACCTACCCTTGCTGGCCAATACCCTTTCAGAAAGTCTAAGTCAAAGAATATCAAGCCTCTTGTGGCAGCAAATACCATTAAGTTGGTTATGTATTTTCTGCAGAAGTTTTTATGTTTTTGTCCTCAACCAAGTAATTCCATTAGGTGTTCCCAAATTATACTATTATTAGAAAAGGAGCAAATATATATATATATATACATATATAAAATATATTAATGCTTTTTTTACATTTAATCATCACAATTGTTTTGGTGATTTTCCTTCATGCCTAGAACAACTCGAAGTTCAGGGCAAATTCTCCATGCCAAACTTCCACGTGGAACGAGATCATAGGTTTCAGGTCCAGATATTTCCTCCATTTCTCCCAACCACATGGAATCTACTGTTGCAGAGATTTCCCTTTCACCATGGTGAGGTGTTTGGGAAAACAAAGCTATGGGCATAGACCAGAGTGAAGATTTTTCTGCTACTCAGGGAGGAAGAAAGGAAAGGAAGTTCTGCTGATTACATCATCCCCTGCAACCTCCCACACCACCTCCATCTCTTTTGGAAAGTTTTGCAACCCTCTGAAGCATATTTGCAGAGGGTGCAGGAGGCTGTAAGAGCAACTGGCAAAAATCACTGCTCCCGCTACTGGGAACAGCAGGTTCCTTGCATGCAAGGATGCCCATGGGACCTTTTCATTTGAATCCAACCCAGGAATTTGAAACATGGTTCAGTTCTAACTGTGCATAATCTCTCTCTCTCTCTCTCTCTCTCTCTCTCTCTCTCTCTCTCTCTCTGTGTGTGTGAGGGAGAGGGAGAGGGAGAGGGAGAGGGAGAGGGAGAGGGAGCAGTAGCAGCATTTTTGAGCAGGCTGCTAGAGAATAGCTATTTCATATTAGCAATGGGTGTGGACTTTCAAGATGCTTGCTTCCATAGAAAAATAGGTTTTATACATGAAAATATTCCTAATTGTTAAAATAATAAATTTGGCTAAATTGTATTTCATATTTCTGTGCAAGGAAGGTTGGTGCTAAAACCACAGAGACCATTGTGGTTTTCTTATAAATCACACTCTATGTTACACTTTAATGGAAAATGACGGCTCCATAAAAACCAATCTTTCTGCATTTTTAATTCTCTCATGTAATAGATAAATCCTTTTAGAAGCAAGATCTGGCAGTCATCTAACTTTAGAATATTCTTTTTTTCACAGTATATACTTATCTATAATTTAGATAACTACACACTTAAACTATGCAGAAACCAGGAATATTCCAAACAAACAAAAATAATAATTTACAATTAAAAGGAAATAATATTTAAAAGAAAAAAAGAACTTTTTGCCTTTCCAAGAACACCCCCCCAGAAAATTCGCTTCTATTTCCGAAAAGAATTATGTCAGCTTATAAAGAAAAATTATATCTCCCACAAAATGCTCTCAACAATTCCAAAGCTTCTTCATTTGACCACTTGAAAATCAAAGTTCTATAAAATCATAAATATAGCTTCTTATAACTCTGTTATTACATACCGTGTATGGGAAGAGGGGCCCAATCTTGTGGCCATAGCGTCGAATCGCCTCTCTGATGTGGGCAGGCTGGATGGCATCACTCTGAACCTCCACACCACAAGCGGCAGTGCTCTGCAACAGAAAAGCACATTCGCTGTGACTAAATCAAAAACACACACAAGCATGCACAGCGCATTAATTAAGGAAGAGCCCTTTACAAAACAGACTAGTTCCTTTTCTTATAAGGATATAACTGCTCATCACATACTTTATATTAAAATAAAACCAAAGCACATTAACAAATCAAAGGATACTTTTATAGGAATTTTCCTAGACGATCAAGAGAACACCATATATGCCCTCAGTCTTCCAGCCAGCATTGAGCACAGAAAGAATGCTCAAATCCAAATGATAAATTCTTAAGCGTTAAGGAAGCGTACAAAGCCTTTTTAGAAATCAAGCAAGAATCCCTTGTTTCAGCTTCCAGCAGCCAGGATGTTTTAGGATAAGCAGAAAGGGCTATTAGAAGGTCCAACTCCACTTCTGATTCAAGTATCTACACTGGAAGAGGAGAAAGTGGAGTCCTGTCCAGTCAATATTTTGAGGCTTTGCTGCCTCCTGGCAAGCTCTCTTCTTTAGAACAGAAATTTAGAAATGTGTCATTGGTTGTAGTTACCAATCCTAGCAAACTTCTTTTAATTTCCTTTAAGATTTCTTTCCTCTCTTTTTGGTGGCCCTAGTACCCCCCCAAATATTCCACATTTGCCTCATTATTTCCTGAGTGCAGTTCACTGGAAGCCCTAGTCATGCAGCATTTTTAGTTAGTATGACAAAATAATCAAAAAATGATAATACTGCCTGGATGTTTTGAACTACTTTTGTCAAGGAAGACCAGCTCTAGTTTTGCCACTTTAGTCACAGATCTTGACTTGGGTCAGACACTGAGCCCTCTATAGCTGATGTGTTATACTTTAGTGATGTCATTTATGCACTTTCCAGTGCAAGACTGAGAAAATTAAATTCTTTGATGTTTTGGCAGTGATCATTGGCTAATTGAGATCTCAATTTACACACTCTGTGGTCAGGTATGTTTGCTCACAAATGTGCACACTGCCAAAAAAAGTAATAGTTTGTATTATGTACCTGTTGTGCCAAGCTTACATATATTTATCCTGCTCAAAGGCTGGTAAAATTCCACCAGAGGAGATTCCTAATGTTTATTCAGCAATGTTTGCTCTTCCACATGGACCACTTAGATTTAATTCTGTGACTTATTTCATTTTTAAGAAGCATTTCTCACCAAGTTGGAAAGTCTAACAAATCCTTTCCAACAAGTTAAGTCTTATAACAAGCCATGGTAACAAAAAACCCTTACATTGCTTGGGTTCACACATCACACTAACCCACCTAGTAATAAGCCAGGGTGGATTGATTGTTCAGCAAACAACCTATGGTGTGCCCGAAAGATTACTGGGCTCAGTGTAGGCTGTTCTCTTCTTCTTTTCCCCCTTGATCCTGCAGCCAGTTTCCCAGGGGACTTGGCAGCTGAGGCAGCCGTGCCTCCTCTCCCCACTATGATGCGGAACTATTCTTTAGCTCCCTTTTTTGGGAGGCCATCACAAGCAGTGTGATAGCCTGTGTCAGATAGTAGCCTATTGGAGCAGTTTAAAATAAGGGGCCTAAATGTGAACTATTTTTATATTTTTCTAGTCAGACTTGTACACATGTGGAGCTGTGCACTTCTGGGTGTCCAAAATGAGAAGCTTTACCTGGGCAGCAGGTACCAAACCTGGATTTTGACTGAGAGAGGCTCAAAATAGTTTTTTCCCCCTTTGTTTTGATGTGACAGCTGTCAGAAGCCAAGTTTTCGAAAGAGAGAAAAAGCAAGTGTTAACTTTTCTTATGAAAGGTGATAGTTACTTTCCTCTGCTTGTACTGCGCTCTTCAGTGTTCTGAGTATCCTCCCAACATAGGATCCAGTAGAGGTCAAAATGGGAACAGGGAAGTATACAGATTTCACAGAGTTCACAAATCCTGGCTTTCAAAAGAAGCCCTACTTCTGACAGCTGTCAAAGGTGCAAAAAGCTAGGGAGCACTTTTCTCCCTTCTTAAGCACCTAGATTCTTGAAAATGGGTGGAAAAATTAGGGACATTGAGACTTTTGAGGTAAATACTTAAAACTCCAAAGAACTTGTTCCATACTTGCAAAATATTACTTTAAAAATGGAGCAGAGTTGGAGTATATTTTTATAAAGATGTGGTCAACCCGTCACTTCAATGATCCCACACATGGAATCACCAAAAATGTCAAAACATGTTTGCTGCTCTTACCAAGCACCCTCATGGTAGAAGCAATTACCTGGATTTGGATGACAAAACAACATCAAGGATAAAAGAAACCCAATAACAGCCCAGTTCTCAGTGGGCTGTTTTCAGTGGGCCCAGTGGTTTGTGGGGCAGTGGCGTAAACTGCTCTGAGGGAAAGAATCTGCATTCAGATGACACAACAACCCATCATAGTTAGATATCTACAATGGATTGTTCTACTGTATAAACAAGGCTATTATTAAACATGAATGTTAAATATTACAAATGAAAGCCCCTATCCATTAGATTTCTCAATATCAATATGTCTGACATCTTATTTTTTTAGAGGTTTAACTAAGAACATGAAAAAAGCCCTGCTGGATCAGAACAAAGTCCATCAAGACCAGCACTCCGTACACATGGTGGAAAACCAGCTGCCCACTAGATCTCTCAAGCAAGATGGGTGCAAGACCTCCACTTGCCCTAGCTCCTCAGCAGCAGGTGTATGCAGGCAGGCCACCTCTGGTAAAGGAGGTAGCATGTAGCCAGCAAGGATAGTAGCCACTGGTTACTCAGATTCCTTTCTCACGAATCTGTCCAATGCCCTGTTAAAGACATCCAGATTGGTGGCCAGCACCACCTTCCATGGCAGCAAACTCCACAGTTTAACAGTATGCTGTGTGAAGTTTTTCCTTTAATCTGTCCTAAATCTCCCACCAATCAGCTTCAGGGATGACCCCGGGTTCAAGTGTTAATGGGAGAAACTCTCCAGTTTCTTCATACCATGCACTATTTCAAACACTCATATCAAGTCTACCCCTGCCTTTACAATAACAGTCCCAGTTGTTCTAGTCACTCCTCATAGGGAAGCTGTTTGAGCCCCCCGGATCATTTTTGTTGCCCTTCTCCGTACTTTTTCCAATGAGAAAGTGTCCATTTATTAGGGGATTTTTGTCCCAACAGGCATTACTCTACACTTGATTACATGGAGCTGCATTTGCCATTTTGATGCCCATTCTCCCCAGCTTGGGGAGAGCCCTTTCGAACTCCACACAATCCCTTTTGGTTTTATCTGCCATAAACAGTTTGGTGTCATCAGCAAACTTGGCCACTTCACTGCTTATTTCTACTTCCAGATCATTGGTGAACAGTTCGAAAAGCACTGGTCCTAATCCAGAACCCAATGGTTACATCTCTCCATTTGTACAAATTGCCATTTATTCCCACTGTCTGTCACCTGATCTTTAACCTGTTAGTGATCCATAAGAGGATCTCCATCTTTTATCCCACGGCAGCTTAGTTTGCTCAGGGGACATTGTCAAAAGCCTTTTGGAAATCAATGTCTACTGGATTGCCCATTTATGTACTTATTGATGCTCTCAAACAACTTGAACAGGTTAGTTTGGTAGGACCTCTCCCTGCAGAAGTCATGTAGATTCTTTTTCAGCAGGGTTTGTCCCTCTACTCCTCAGCATCTTGCATAAAATCAAGAAAGAAGAATTAAAAAGAGTTGGACAAATAAAAAATAACTCCAGGGGGAAGAGAGCCAAGGCTGAAGGGTCCTGTGGATTGCCCTCCCTGGAGAGACTCTCTTGATGTTTGTGTTTTGGTCTTTTTGGTACTATGTGAAGACCTTATTATTTTCCCAAGCATTTTAGACCTTATGCTAACAAAATTGCATTAGTAGATTTTTGTACTGCTGTTGACTATTATCTTGGGTCCTGCTTGGGTTTTCCTGTTTTAAATTCACACAGGCTTTTAATATTATGTTTTATTATGTTATTGTATTTCAACATTTTAAGTTTTCTTTTGTGAACTCTCAAGGGAGCTTAGTCTAATAAGTGGTATAGAAATATAACAAGCCAATTAAAATATAAATAAATAAAAAAGAATGTTCCAAGGTAGCACCTCCCTCTGATGTATCTTCAGCTGTGGTCAGGTTCAGGTGAGTGGAGGTGGCCCTTTGAGGATCTGCATCCAAAGCTGCTTACAGATTTAAGGGTAAAAAGCCACTTTCAAACTTGACCATACACCAAGCATCACTTGGTAGCTTTGATAGTCTTTTGACCTAACCAGACATAATGCATCTGTAACTCATAATGTGCCTGTAACTCCGGCAATTCGGGTAGATACCACAACATGGGTAGCAGTAATGAGGCAATTAAGAAGACTGAAGTCTTGCTCAAACAAGAACAAAAAAGGAAAAGAAACTCACTCAAAAGAAGTGAAAGACAGTATGGGATGCAAAAAAGACGCCAGAGGAACTTACTATTATCAACATTAAGACGACCAATAATTCTTTCACTAGACCAGACTCAGGTCACTGGCTATGGAGGTAGGATGCTTTTGCCAAAGTCACACATGCAAGGCTCTGAGCAAAATTAGCCAAAATGCAGCAGGTAATTCAGTGAAGGATGAGGCACAGTCAGTGCATTATTCAAGATTCTCCGAGTCCTGCTATCATCCTTCAGTTCAGAGAATGAGTCCCTGGCAGAAACTCTATCCCTGCACTCTTGCAGAACTCTTAGGTTACAAAATCAATTGAGGGCCATTTAAGAATCAACTCAGCTCCTCCAGAAGCTGAGAGAACATCCTATTGTTATTGCAGTTCCAGGACCCACATGGAGCTACCAAAGTTCTTATTGTTCTACCTAACATTGGTTGCTATCAGCTTCTCTGTGGGCCTTAAACAACCATACAATGGGACACTATGGCTGCTGTAAAGAGATGCTGGCATTGACTGGGAACAGAACCAAAAATAAAAATCCCAGTATCATAGTGGACTTATGAATATCTATGGTGCAACCATATTTGGAGTGATTTGTACAGTTCTGGTAACTGCTCTTAAACTAGGATATGTGCACTCGGGCAAAGGCAGCCAAAATGAGTGGAGGGTTGAAGGAGCTCCTCTAGGAGAAGAGGTCATGTTAGAACAAAGGGAAGTAAGGGAAGAGTTTATAGGTGAGTATCAAAGTATGAATGGTGAAGTAAATACTAGAACCATGGAGTCATTCCTGTTTTGAAAGGGGATTAGTCAAAGGCCATGGAGGACCAGTATTCCAGAATCGGAGGCAGTATTTTACATCTGCAGTTGCTGTAGCATTATATGGAAGCAGAAAACTGCACTGAGTAGGCCTCTGATCTGAGGCAACATGGCTCCTGTTGTGTTCTTACCAGCCTAGGATGGTAGAACATGTGCCATGCTAAGGAGTCCACTTGGATAGTGGTACCCCCACTCTGTGGTACCCCCACTCTGTGCAGCCTCCCCGAAATAAATCATGTGCCCCCAAGAAAGAAGGCTTGCCTGCAGGATTAGGCCCAGGGAAAGAAGAACCCTGAGTGAGGCATCTGACAGGCTTACTGTAAAATCCTGAAAGCATGCTGGTACATGCTCTACAGTCATGTGTGCTCCTTTTAGTAAATGAAACAAAATTTTAAAAAGAGCTGACAACCTATAAATAGTGCACATATTTTCTACATAGTATCCAGTATAAATTAAAATGCATCTTCTTCCCTTTAGTACCATCCTTAATGCACATGGTTAAACGAAGTTAAGCAAGTTGTCAGAGTCTGTCATCCAGAACGATTCCTCCTTTTCAGTCTTTGTTGACTAGTTATTTTGGAAAACAAAACAAAAACCTTTAATAAGGAAGAAAAACCACCCAAAACTGCTCAAGGTTTGTCTACCTCTATCCTGAAGTTTGGTGATGACTGATAAAATGCTTAGTGCTGGGTCTGAGCAATGGTTGTTCTCCTCACTAAATTATCATCTTTATGCTTTCCAATACAACATATGAAGGTGTTGCAGAAGTTTTTTTCCAGTAATATTTATTGTCCTGTTCTTTTAACACAAATGAAGAGATGATGCTTCTGTTTAAGTTCAGTTTTAAATTCCCCACCCTTCTTGTATTCCCACTACCTTTTGACCTGAAAGAGTGTTATAGAACAGCTACACAAGTTTACTTAACTGCTTTACCTACTGCATGGCTAGCTGTATTAGCTGCTGCATAGCCAACTTGGAAGGTCATATGCTGGACACAGTCACAGTCTCCAGAAAGCCTAAAATACTCAATGAAAAATGCTATTCATATTGCCTGAGGGCCCAGTCACCCCCAAAATATCTGTGTTTTACATTCCTTTTATGGATGTCCTTCAACAAAGGAAGAGTACTCTGCAATATTATTCTGAATGGATGTGGCATGAGTACACATTTCAAGGTCTGAATATTCAGTACCTCTAAGAATAAAGCAAACATTTAATCAGACTGAGTTTTAAACAAAGAGCATAAATGATTTTGAGCGCTCCCTCTGCCTGGAGTAAACTTTTCACTGGTACACAAGAGATATTATTTGGATTCAGAAGTATATCTCTTCTGATAAACTTTTGTTAAAGTAGTCACTGTTGTACCCTCCTGTGTGTTGAAGCAAGATCTTAAGCTTGAATGAGTCATATAAAATTTTTTGCGCTGGAAAAACCACCATAAGATGACCCATTGCAACAGTTTTCACAGGTCAAGAAGATATAAGGCTACACTATAAATCACAAACAGTGTCATCCAAAGTGAGGATCAACTGAAAGTCCCGAGGCAGATCTACTGCCACATCTCAAGCCCTGCTCTCTCACAGTGGCCAGAGTTGAAAGGTGTATGTGTTTTGCTTTGCTTTGCTTGCTTCCTCCTGCCTTTAAATCTCTCCTCCACCTCTTAGTTACCACAGGAGAGAAAATTCTTATACCAGATCCAGGTGAGCAAAGGGGGACAGCTTGATTCCAGCTCGCTTGGAAAAATGGATATGGCTGATCCAAGAATAACCTAATCTCTCCAATGGAATAGCCACCCATGGCAGTGGTGGCAGTGCAGCGACCCCCACAGAGCTCTCTGCAGGTTCAGAGGGGGCTCCACTCCACCAGTGGAAGGACAGCCCACCTATGCTACCCAATGGCTCATAACCCTCCAAGGGTTAGCTTTGCTCTGAAGCTCACTAATGTGTCCTGGAAAAGTATAGGAAAGGGACACTTTCTAGGATGCTGTTTGTAATAAATTGGCCATGATAGCATACACCTACAAGATCAGGTCAGCATGTCAGGAAAAAGTAATCTAAATGACAGCCAGCCCTCAGATAAATAAAACCATAATTTCAGGGTGTCTTTAATTTTCCTTGGAAAGTATACATTTAAGAGCATAGAAGTGGAAAATCTGACAGGGATGCGCTTAGTCTGTGTCTCCAGCACTGAGCTGACAACTGGGCTAGGCCTACAAAATTCATTTTTGCTAGGACTGTAAATGGAAAGTTGGTTTTGGGAATGTACAACATGCAGTTTTGAGAGAAGTGAAATACTTCTTCACTAAACCTACTTTTTTCCTTTTTCGCTGTTTAACTCTGGAGGAATCTTGTCCGATGCTGCCATTCCCAATGGCTCCAGATGGAATCTTCCCCATGTGCTGTGAGCCTGCTGATGGAGGGGCGGGTGTTGGGGGTGGGGTGTTTTCAGGAGAGTCAGGGCTGGTCTTCATGCCTGCAATCTGTCCTGAAGCATGCATCTAAAACATGAAAAAAAAACAACCCAAAAAAACCCCACAGTAAGTGTTTGCCAAGTATTCTCTGGGTACAGAGCAATATTGTACAATTCCTTTCTAAAGCCACTTGTGCCATAAAGTGGTCATGCAGAAGAATATAAGACAAAATTATTTATTTCTTTGGAATATTAACATATCACTTAATAAAAATCTTTATGCAGGTTACACTGAAATGTACACGTTATACAATATAAAACAATTAATAATAAATATTGCAGCAAAAAGTAAACAGAGCCTTTCATAGTTCGTTACAGAGGAAAGCCTGAGTAACTGTTTTCAAAAGGCCTTTGAAACTTGGTGGAATTTTGCCTCTGAAATCACATGGGAGAGAGTGTTGCAGAGAATGAGAAGGCCCACTTTCATGCCAGTGCCTGGTAAAGAATAATCCAGAAGGCCTCCTCTAAAGAGGACTGACTGGGTGTATACAGGGGAAGACAGTCTTCTAGGCATCCTGGTCACCAGTTATTTAGGGCATTTGATGTAGCAACAGAACCCTGAACGTCGCTTGGTAGCTAATAGGGAGGCAGAGCAGATCTTTTAGCACAGGTGAGATATGTGTGCAGCCAGATGCTCTACTGAACATCCTTGCTGCTGCAGTCTGCACTGGCTGGACCACAGTGGCTAGGTTCTCTCTCTCCAGGAACAGGTGCTGGCGCTCCAGGCCACTGAGGACTCTTAGTTCTCCAGTGACAAGAATGGATCCAGGAAGACCCCAAACTATCTACCTGGTCATTCAGAGGGAATGCAACACCTTCAAAAACAGTTAACCAACCCTAATCCTAGGCTTCTTAATGGCCCACCCAACTGCCCTTATCATACATCTCCTCTATAATATATAAACTACTCTTTAGCCCTTGAGATGGTGGAAGGTATTGAATCCTGGCATATTTAAGCCTCTGTGTAAAGTTGGAGCACCCAGACATCTAACTGATTTGGTTTTGAGGAAAGAAGAATTGCATGATAAATTGATCAAAAGTGCTTCTATAGTTTTACTGCTGTGCTTTGACCCCCGCCCCCCCCCAATAAAAACAAAACCTGCTTTAGGCTCCCCATTTTACACACTGGCACTCATTAATATATCTATTTCAGATGTGCTCACCCATCCTACCAACATTAGCTGCTAGCAGAATTATTTTCAAGGGCTGAAGTTTGTGGTACCAAGGACTTAAATGTGCTTTCTCGTCAGCTGATGAATACATGGGATGGTTTTAATTTGCCCTTCATAAAGGAAGCAACAGCTCTTCCCCACAGACAGATCTGCAGGAGGGAGCTTCCTAAATGTTGCAGTCCCATTCTGTATGTCTTGAAATGAGTTGGCTGCAGCCAGATCCCTCTTCCTGATCAGTGCTGAAAGAAAGAACAGCCATTTCCTACCAGCAGACGTTCTGGTGGTACAGGGTATCCCTCTGCAGTTTTTGGTGAACTGCATGTATGCAGAAAGTCACACAAGAACACGCAAAGGTATGGGGGAGCTCTCCTATCTGCTGTAATCAAAGAGAAAGGGCTTCTACTGATAAGTGGGTATAATGGTTAATCCTATTCTTATGAGGAAATCAACACTTTGAAAAGACCAAACATATACTTACTTCAGCAGAACTATGATACTGAATGAAGGTAGCAGATATCGCATGACTGAAAGGGTCACTGGCTTTGGGAGTCATGTCTTGTTTGACCAGGAGGGCCAGGTCCACCAGCTAAGGAACAATGACAATAAAAATAACAGTCAAGGTGTGAAGAGCCAGAATTAACTTGTTTAACCACTTAATTAACAAAAGATCTGCAGTGCAAGAGGTAATTAGTGCAGGAATAGGTGGCAGTCATTATACATTGTACAGGTCTGGATTCTTGCCTTTCACAGGTGAAGTATAAGGAAAGATAATAAGATTTGCAGATGGTACAAAACTGGATGGAATAGCAAACACCCTAGAACAGGGGTCCTCAAACTTTTTGACCAGGGGGTCAGTTGAAAGCTGCAGGTGCTGGGCGTGGGCCAGAAAGGTGGTGCCTAGTCATGTGCGTGGGCCAGTGAGGGGGCGGGGGCGGTGCATGCGGGTGGTGCACTGAGGTGGGTACGCATGGTGAGGGGAGGGGAGGGGCGGCAGGGGCGGGCACATGCCATGAGGCAGGCACACGAGGCAGCAGCTTGGTTGCTTGGAGTTGGTTTTCTCCAAGCGAGCAAACTGCTGCCTCCCGCGCACGGAGCGCGGTGGCGGGTGCACATGTGGTGGGTCCAAATGGGCATGGTGGGCCGGATAAATGGGCATGGCGGGCCAGATCCGGCCCCCGGGCTGTAGTTTGAGGAGCCATGCCCTAGAAGAAAGAATGAAGATGCAAAGTGATCCTGATAAACTTGAACACTGGGTTGAGAGTAACAGAATGAGATTCAATAGGGACAAGTGCCAAGTCCTCCACCTAGGAAAAAGAAACCAAGTACGAGAAGGGGAATACATGGCTCAACAGACTTGAAAAAGAAAAGAAAAAACATTGGAGTTATTGTGGACAACAGGCTAAGTATGAGTCAACTATGTGATGCAGCTGCCAAAAGCGCAGATGTTATTTTGGGATGCATTAATAGAAGTATTACTTCCAAATCACGAGAAGTAGTAATTCATCTACATTACTCGTCAGTCAAACCTCATCTGGAATACTGTGCCTAGTACTGGGCACCAAGATTTAAGAAAGAAGCTAGAAAATTAAAAGGGGTCCAGAGAAGGGCAACAGAAATGATCCAGAGGTTGGAAACACGAGGAGAGACTGTGAGAAGTGGGCATGTTCAGTCTTAAGAGCGGGGGGGGGGGGGGACATGGTATCACTCTCTAAGTCCCTCAAAGGCTGTCACAAAGAGGAAAGTCAAGATATCTTCTTGCTGATTTATTTATTTATTTAAAACATTTTTATGCCGCCCCCATCGCAACCAGAGTGTAGGGCATGGAATAATCAGTTCCAGTTGTGACTAGCCAGAATCAGGCTAGGTATCAGGGAGTTTCCTCAATGTCAGAGCAATATGACAGTGGAATGACTTGCCAAGAGAGGTGGTGGACTCTCTCACACTAGAGACATTCAAGGTGAAATTGGATAGTCATCTGAATGAATGGAGTAAACTGATGTCATGCAACCGCAGGGGGTTGGACCCGATGGCCTTCATCACCTCTTCCAACCCTATTATTCTATGATTCTATGAAAATATTTTTTCTAAAATACATCCATCTACCTTTTGATAAGTGATTCTCAATTATATTTATTAAATAGCACAACAAAAGAGAATTAATGGGACCCCTTTTATTAGTTCTTTTTCTATTTTTAATGACAGACAAAAGCAGCTGCTTTATAAAGACCAACTGTACCATTACTGGCAGTGACAAGGATGGTTATAACACAATATTGGAAGAAAAAAACATGATAGATGGTTTCTGAAATTTTGGGAGATGGCTCTTGCTGAAAAACTAGCCAAACATAATCAATTGATCCGAGGGATGTTCAGGCAGTGCTCACTCTTAGAAACATGGGTCCCCTCCATTCCATACATGTGTGCAGCATTTACAGACAGCATCCACTGAGAGAGCAGTTTTGGAAAGGTGCAGTAACTAGCAAGGTGGTGAACTGAAACCAGATTATTCTGTGGCTGTAACAGACTGAGACCACGAAGAAGAATGTCTACTGCAAGGCTGTGTTCAGGGACAACAATCCTAAATTATGTACGGAACCTGAGACGAATAAAGAAAAACAAAGTGTATATGTTGCTGTTTATGTTGTTCTATCATTGCTGGCTCACATTTCTCAAATAAAATAGTAGTTTAAAAATACCTGTGCGACAGTCTCATATGCTAAATAAGCCAGAATTTCCATGGCAACTGCATTTGGCTTTATTTCCATGCTGCTACAGTCCAGCCAGTCTCGGAACTTGGAAGCTTTCTTTGCTGTGTGGTGAAAACAGAAGTGTTATGTTAACCTTATCGCTTTTCTTGCAGACAGCTATGTATGAAGAGCAAGAGTTGCAGGCCATCCCAGCAGCTGCTCCCAGGCTGTGTATGAAACACCTTGCCAAGGGAGCCTGGGTTAGTTCCCTCTCTGTGGCTCCTCTGCTGTCAGGCAAAGCTGGTCTTTAGCGCGTAGAATGGTCTATTGGGTTAGGTACTTGTTAGTTAGGCAATTTTTAGTATTTCGGTATAGCACTTGTAAGTGCTATATATGGTAATAATTGCAGTATTAAGCTAATTAGACACGTACTGATCACTGTCCTTGTACATGTTTCTAAAACTGTATTATCACTTACAAAAATGAAAACAACATTTTGTTTCTGGGCTACAGCATGGTCTACAGTGAAAACAAAAACACGATGTGGTTTATGCATAACATTCTGCTCCTATGACCAGTCTTATTTATTAATGAAAAACATTTTTACCACAACTTCCAGTCCAGACCCCTTCCTAGGCAGAGTACATAAAAATAACAGTGAATGTACAAACTGCACATTAAAAACAACTATTGAAATAACAAGACAGACTAAAAACTGATTTCAGCTTATACAGTGGCAAATGCCTGCTGAAACAAGTAGGTTTTGCTTTCTTGCTGGAAGACAAGGATTGAGAGAGAGAAGATGACTTCCCTTGGAAGATCACACTGAAGTTCAGGTGCCACAACTGAAAAGTCCATGACATACTCAAACACTTAACCTATGTAAACATGGATCATGTTCAATACGGGTGGAATACAAGATTTTTTCAGAGGGGGAGAGGAAGGGGTTTCCCAGTGGAGTCTTCTTTTAAGGCCACAGAACCACACCTTGTGAAAACCTTATAGGTATCGCCACCATAAAGCTGCTTTTCCTCTAGCACCTCCAGTCAAACCAGCAATAGCACACAGGGATCAAGTATGCAGCAGGTAGTCTTCCTGCTGCACGAATCCTATACACAAGCTCAAAACTGACCATGCAATTATGGCAAGAGTGCTATGGATTCCTCAAGCGTGATGTTTCTAATAGCAGAATCCAACTGGAGACAGATAGGTGATCCTGCCTGCAAAGTGCCTAGCCAAATGCTTACAGCAACCACCAAAGCCTCTCTATCATTCCCTCAAGGTCAAGATGAAAAGGGTCCTTATCTCTCAGACAGCTCCAATGGGTGGCTCTAGGTAGAGAAAAAGATGGCAGAGAAATAGGCTTTATTCATTCATTTATTTAAAATTTTTGTATCCCGCCCTTTACAGTGTCTTAGGGCAGCTTTACTTGCTGTCAGTCTTTAAAGTTAGTCTTAATCCATTACAGGTCACATACATCACATATGCTTTCCACCATCATTCAAGCCATCAACCTGATTTAGTAGCCTAATTCCTTGGAAAACTAAGCAGTCCACTAGGCTCAATCAATCCAGAGAAGGGGTCCTGGAGCAACTGCATCCTATCATCAGGGTGACCTCCACATTCCTGAGACTGACCAAGGCACCAACAGGCCCTCCTGTCATAGCAGCAACAAGCCTCTCCAGAGAGGCCACCATCAAGGTTTATCAGTCTGCACCAAAATACAGTATGGGCCACCACTGTTGATTTTAAGATCTACAGGCTTAAGATTCCATTCACAGCAAATTTAATATAGAGAGAGCCACACACGTTGCATGTTCAGTTGAGCTCTCTTTTAGGTATCTGAATAAAAAGTGGGATTGGTGTACACATAGCATATGGGTAATTTTAAAGACCTATATGGTTACCAGTTCTAGCATGGATAAGCTGATTGTAGTACCTTGCCTTCTGGTTAATGTGGAGAAAAATACAGGTCTCTCATTACTATAGCATGGTGTCCCTTATGATGCCTGACCAAAGTTCGTGTCAGCTTGACCTTGTCTTCCACTTCTTTCAAAGTATGGTTCTTTTTAAAGCCAAGTCTACATGGCGCTTCTCAAGTTAACAGGTTTTACATCAGTCAACTAATGCACAGCAATTATTTTTACTTTCATATTGGATTTTCACATTTGTGTGTACATGCCTGCTACAAACCAGCTTCAGCTACTATTACTTTGCTTATGGAAATTCATATTGGTGTAGTCTTGATTATAATTATTAAGTGTAAAATGTGAGTTCATTGCAAGCCTTTCAGATATTGAAATTACTTTAATTTGAAGAATCACTGGCTTAAACATTTGCAGATGTCATTCACTGATCTAAACTGAGACCACAAAAAAGCACTGAAATAGCAAAAACAGCACTTACAAACCACACCTTCCCTACTGCTTGACATTTACAGAGGATGCAATCATGGATGTGTCATTTATTTTTCATATTGTGATCTGCAAGCGAATCAGTCATTTCTCTAAATCAAATGCTTGTTATGGAAAACAAGATAAGTGCCTTTTATTTAAGGATGTTGTTGTGCTTTCAGTGACTACTGAAATGTCATGTGCTGTTTTGTCATGATCTTACATGCTCTTTCACTGCCTTGTCTAACTCTCAAGCATTATCTAACGTCTTCAGTGATGATTTTTGTTGTTGTTTTATGATGAAGGCTATTAATTTAGGACCCATTATAATAGCGGCCCACAAATACATCTGGTAGTTTTTTTCCCCAGTGATGGTAAAAGCCATAATGCATTCATTATGTTACTTAGTACAATAGCAGCATGCATTGATGCATTTTGTAATTTAACATAAGCGCCATGGAAGAAAGCTGTAAACGTTAATTCAGAAAACATGTTATGGTAGACAGAGAAATTATATGAAATTTGTTAACATTTGCTAATGTGAAATAATGGCTAACTAATGATCAAGAACTTTATTTACCACCTGCAACAGAACTTAGTCAGGCCTCACTAATAAGGTACAGGCTGACAAATATCAATGCCTTAATGCTTTCTTCAACCCATTTTATCTGTGTCTGGGGTCAGAAATCAGGTGCTTGGCCATCCTTCCTGCACTCATATTCCTCCCACAAACATTCACGTATATCCCATTTGATGGGGCTGGCCACCAATGCAGTAACTTGATCCTGTGGGGCTTAAAGTACAGTGACACCTTTCACCATTTTTAATGGCCATCGTGATCTGTCCTGCTTGGAAATCTAGTGTGAATGGAACTGCAAGTAACAACAACAACAGCAGCATTGCCTTTACACCCCACCTTTTTTCCTCTTGCAAGGAATCCAAGGCAGCTTACACAGTTTTCCTCCACTCTATTTTTAACCCCACAGCTACAACTCTGTGAGGCAGGTTATGCTGAGAGGGAGTGACTGGCATAAAGCCATCTATTTCATGGCTGAGTGGGAGACTAAAACCCAGATCTTCCATATCCCCAGGCCAACAGTCTAACTACCATGCCGTTCTGGCTCTAAGATAGGCTGAATGGTTTAGGTCAGAGGTTTTCAACCTTTTTACAGTTGGGGACCAGAAAAAATAGGAAAATTATTTTGGGAACTGCTGAGGCAGAAATAGAAGACATTATATACATAATATAGTACTTTGTGTATTAACTTTTAAATATACTACCAAAAAAGGAAAATTCTCTGAAATAACCAGAAACTGAGCAGTAAAAATGCGAATATTGAATTTGATATTGAATAGAATATTGAAATTAAATGTAATTGAATACAACTGACATTTTTAGAGAGCAGTATGTAATTCAAATAAGGATACTGCAAAATCTGCTGTTGCTTTTCAAGAATACTTGATCAAACATGGAAAAATGGATCAAAATACAAGAGCAAAATACGAAGTCAATATAAAATGCTATACTATGCTCATAGCAAATACAATTCAAATACAATATTAGCAGCAGAGGAATACAAAGTCAATCAAAGTAACTTTATAGAATAATATTCATAATGTTAAATAATGAAATAGAATGAACCCCCTCCACTCCAACCCTCCTACATACCAGCACAGACTGGCTGAGAAAACACTCTTAGCACAAGCCTGCCTCAGCATTTCCGTTCCAGGTGAAAACACAGCAGAGAAAGGAAAAGGCAAAGGCCTGGTCTTTGGGTCTCTGCCCAGGGGCAGTCCAGGGGCAGCCTGGCTCCCATTGAGTTGCCTCTCCCCTGCCCAGCCTCCTTGGCTGAGGAAGAGGCGGGAAATTGGCAGCGAGGGCACAGCAAGCAGGATGTGACTGTCATGCACGTGCACAGCAGCACCCTCTTTCACGGACCAGCAGGAAATTGTTTCAGGGTTTGGTGAGAGGTTTTCTGATCACATCTTGGTGAACAGCCAACCAATACCATGAACAGCCAGAATATGCTCTAGAGACCTCTGCAATACACTGGGCTACTATAGGAAGTGTTTGATTTCATCAGCAGGTAAATTGACGAGGGAAGTTTCCTGTGAGAATAAAATCTACTAAGCAATAACACTGCTCTTTCTAGAACAGTAGCTAGGCAGAGAAAGGTCTGTTTGACTATACTTTCTATCCTGTGTCCTGCAATATTATCTTCTGTTGCACCCCTACCTGAAACAACACTCTTTTGAACAATTTCACACTTGCCAAAGGTTCTGTTTGATCATGCCTGAGAGCAGCAACAGAGTATCTGATTTCATTGCACAGACAACTAAGCTGTGCAACTTGGAATATGATATAGGCCAGTAATTGTTTAGGGAAGAGGTATGTGCATTTGATGATGGCAATGACAGTAAGCACACCAAGGGTGAGGGAGGATACTTTTTTCCCTCATAGACATAAATTCGGAATGAGAATCTCTCACATTCATTGGGAAAAATCAAAAACAAATGTACAACTTCAAATAATTTCTTTAGGTTGCACCCACCCAAATGGGACATTGCCTCCTTACTAAATAGAAGAGAAGAGCTGTCCGTGCAAGCCAGGTCTTCCCCTGGGCAACAATAAGCCTTTAAAAGCTTTGACTCCTAAGTCTTGGCCTACCCATTGATTCCTTCTGTCATGGTTGGTCTTTGATTTCTGGGGCCTGCTTGATTACTACTTATACCTCAACTCTTCCACTTTGCCAAGGTGCAGAAAAAAAGAGCTTTGTCTTAAGATGATAATTTTGGCAGTCTAGACTTGGTACAGCTGTTCCAGGTAATAATGGCACAGTGACAACTCTAAACATCTGGGCTTGTTTCATGTGGACTGAGAACTGAAAAGCTACTTGTCTGATGTACAGGCCCCTGAAGGGTACCTGCTTACACCTTTGAAGTACCATTACTCTTTGCAAATCATAAGTGACACCCCCAAATTATATGTCTTTCCCCACATCATCCTTACTTCTCATTGCCATAGAACATATCCATGCCCTAGCAGTTTGGGAGCCTTACCTAGGCATGGGAGGATAGAAGTGCCATCAGAAAGGTAGAACAGGGAAAAATACTGCCGGATATGATGATTTATTAAGGTAACAACTTGGCAAATCACTGAGCAATAAAGGGTTTTAGAACTCCACAAAGATTCCCCATCGGTTCTCCTCACACAGAAGAACCATAAATACCACCAGAGCAGGCCAAGCATTTCTCTGCCCAACTCCCAAATTCCAATTCGTTGCTTCTTCTCTGCTGCTACTTTGACCTGATTCTGTGATTTCTGGCTCCTGCTTCTCTGAACTCAGCGGCTACTTATAAGCTTAGCTCAGATACCCCCAGTCACACATTTCTGTGAAGGAACAGTCACAGGCAAGGGCGGTCCTGCTTTTCCAAGCCTATTGCTGGCCAATGTTCTGGTGAAGCCACCATGGCAAGGGAAGGTGGTTTAAAATATGTTCTTCCCCATATGGAAGTGGTGATGGGGCGTGGACATGGATAGGATATGCCATACTTCATCCACTGGAAATGACAATGTATTATCCTGCCAGGTGAACAGCACGCGCGCGTGCGCACGCACACACACACATAAAAATCACAGTCAGGTACAACATAGCACTTACAAAAGCTCAACTGACGACTTTCACAGAATTCTGCATATTGTGCTGAATCCATCATCCGTGCTTGTCTCTCTGCCCTCTGAAAAGCAGTATAAGCAACACTTATTATTATTTTTGATATACATTTCTAAACAGAAGCACCCACAAAACCCTCAGAACCATTGGTCTGTCAGCCACTCTCAAAATAAAATCAGTGCTGCTATATAAGATATTAAAATATAAATTGATTGTAGAAAATGATTTATTGCAATTGTTTCTCATCTTTCCTGTAGTGAACTTGGGGCAATAAACATAATCCAATTTTATCCTTTATTGCATCAACTACAAAAGATATTATAATATTGTTCTAAAAAGATTTCATACCAGGGAGACCTCTTCACTGGATTGGTTAAACTTAACACTGATCCAGCTACTTCTCATTACACAACTAATTTTATTTGCTTCCTGAGCAAACTGGCATGATGGCAAACCTGGAAAAACAGCCAAACAAAAATGATCTTCTGCTTTGCTACCAATCCGTATACAGTTGTGCTGTTCTTGTGCAAATTCGATGCTGCTCTTTGTCTAAATTGTGCATAGTTGGTAACATAAGTCTGAGCCCATTTGCTTTGACGAAAATCCCAGTAATCTAAAATGGATCTTATTTCTTTAGAATTATGATCTAAGTGCTGGTCCAGAACAGACCAACATATTGGGAATTTGGTTAAATTTTCCTTAAATGGACAATGTTCCAGAAGCCAGTATTCCAGAAAGTGATCTACAGTAGTATTTTAAGGAGAAAATAGAACGGAACTACAATTGTATAAAACATTCTTTGATATGTACCTTAAAATCAGGTATTAGATGCATCTTAAGAAATTAATGGAAACTATTCATCTTGCGAAAAATTCATCCTATATACTCAAAGTAGCCAGTCCAATTAAAAATACAGCATATGTTACACTCAATTCTAAACAAAATAACAAGACAACCCATATTTCTAATGAAGGAATATTGTTACAGGCAGCAATGAAAATATCCTTTACCCAGGTTCATTACCAACCCCAACCCCCCCCCCCAAAAAAAAACCCTTAATATTTCTTCATGGAACCTGGCCTAGCAAATAGGAAGAGAATGCTTTTAATCATGGCTTAATGCATTTGGTTTAGAACTCTGTGCTGAGAGACAATGCACAGTATCAAGAGTTTAGGTGCAGTGGCGGGGGTGGGGGGATACAGTGCCTATCTGCTTAATGGTGTTATCTTTCATTCTGAGCAGTTAAATAGATGAATTATAGAACATGTTGCACAGTAAAAATACTTTGCATGCTTTACTTGAACCATATTGAATGATGCAATAGATAGAAGCTGGCATTCATTATAGAAGTTTTGCCTTCAAAAAAGTGGATTGCATTACGACTTTCGGTATACAACACTGAAAATAACAGCAAGATCAAACTATTTTTTAAATCTGAAAACTACTCTTGATATATTAAGCTCTTGGGGCAAATCAGAATCAAAAGTGTAAGGATGGCTTAATTAAATTCAGTGTTTAACAGAGCTATGCTTATCCATTGCCTGTCCCTAATGTTTCAATAAAAATGCATTCCCCCTGATTCCCCCATAAGTAAAAATGCTTATGAAGATACCATTGCCTTCAAACATCACACTTGGTACATCAGTTTCCTGATTCTGAAGTTCTTTCATTGTACAGATAGCACATTAAGCATGAAATTTGGCTAATAAAACCATACAAATGGATGTGATGAACACACATCAGCTCAAGAAAAGTCAAGTGCTACATTATCATAGCTTTTTTATCACATACATGTTTCCTGTAACATATTAAAGGGAGACACATACATACAAATAAAAGGAAAAGTATTCCTAGGATCCTGCAGAGAGGGGGTATACATTTATGTATATGTACATGTGCGTGTACTAAACATGTATGTTTTAGCCTTTATGGTGTTCATAGGGGAACTGAGTAAGAAAACCCAAAGTCTACTCATGATGGTGAGGTGAGAAGTGTACCGCTCAAAGCAAGTGGAATGGGTAGGAACTTCCTCCTCATCTCCATCACTTTCTGAACTGTGGGACTGCCAAATACATGACTGCATAGAAGCAACAAAATGTTTGGTTCCAGCCAAATGAAGATCTGTTTTGAATGAACAGAAAAGTGGAAGAAGTATGATAAAGTAATTAAATATCACTAAGCTGAAAGTTGCTTTATACAATTTTGCTGACTGGCTCTTCTTAAATCCATTTTTAACTTAAGTGGAAACCAAAGGAAAAGGGGCAAAGGGATATAAAGCATCTTAAAGATTTTGAGTCTTATGCTAAAACTAACAAAACATTCTGTGACAGATTGATGGATATTGTGATAAAACTGCAGATTTGGCAATAAAGAACAGATACACAGGCAATTCTTTGTTATCTTACTTACCCTTGCATTATAAAGCAGACCCTTCTTTCCATCCCATCCATTAGTTTGAATGTGTATGTAAGAAGTAGTAGTCTTTGATGTCCTGCAGCTGCTTTATACATGTATACATCGCCCTAATTCTCTCCATCTAAAATACAAATCTCATTTACACTAAAGGCAAGATCTCAATCTTGAAAGGACCCCAAGAGGAAGCTCCTTTCTCCTTCTAACTGAAATAAAGTATTGTAATAAAGTGCATCAGTCTCTCAAGGCAGCCTGGGAGGAACCTGCAAGTTCAGTAGTAGGTTCCTAGCCAGGTAAGCCTGGGAGGAACCTGCAAGTTCAGTAGTAGGTTCCTAGCCAGGTAAGGTACAGAATGGGAAGGCTCACACCAACTTCGTGCTTTCTCTGGTAGAAATTGTGAAAGTTCTCTGCCATTTATACTTTCAACACAGCATCAATCATGTAGACTGCAAGTGACTACTGAATTTGACAAACAAAAATGCCTAGTGTAGATGTATCTATAGAACAGATTATCACAGCAACACTGGTGTTAAGACTGGTATCCCATGCAGTAAATATGTAATGTGCAAAGTCTATTCTGTCATCTCTAAATGCTAAGGCAGGGGTCCTCAAACTTTTTCAACAGGGGGCCAGTTGACAGGTGCCAGTGGTGCACACGGGCTGGTGAGGGGGGCAGGGCGTGCACGTGCAGCGGGGGCAGGGGGGGCACACGGGACAAGGCGCTGGCTTGCTTGTGAAGAGATCGTTTCTCCAAGTGAGTCCAAAACGACCTCCTCACGAGCAAGCCACACGCATGGATGGCGAGTGCAAAACATCTGGGGTAGGCCAGTTAAATGGGCATGGCGGGCTGGATCAGGTCCACAGGACTTAGTTTGAGGGCCCATGTGCTAAGATACACATACAGGATTTCCAGGTGCATGTACACAGGCTTTTAAGGCTGCTAGCATTTACTCACAATACTCCATGCCTGCTATGGAAATCAGCAATGTACAGCTGACACTCCTGCAGCATGGGGAGAAGAGTCCTCCTGCAGCTGCTACTGCATCATTTCTACCCCACCTGGCTCAAATGTGGAACTTCTTTGAAAGATATTTTTAAGGCTTTAAAAAGGAAGGTATGCATATTGTTTATTAATTTGTTCCTTTTCTAAACCATATCCTGACAATGTCTTTTAAGTGGTTTAGAAATCCTTACATACCTTACAAAGGACATAAAATGCACATGTGTGCACAAATAAGAAGGAAAAAAGAGAAATGTTTGCACTTGTACAGTGTTTGCAAACCTCTCTCAAAGGGAGTTTTGCTACAAGAGACATTTATTGTGTGCTTGTTATGCCCTCCTCATAGAAGAGGGCTGGCAATCCCATGCCCATGAGTTTCCTCGTGCACTGCAGCTGTTCTTTTCAGCTATATGGATAGCTCCAATCAAGCTGAAAAGAAAAGCTGCAATGGATGAGGAACCCCACTGGCACAAGAACCACCGGCCTCCTTCATTTACTCCCAGTTGTTTAATGGTTCCTTAGACAATGCTTGTGATCCAGTTTTACTTCTGTGTCTAACTAGCACTTTCAGCAATGCAGCATTAACTTTAAAAGGAAAAGAAAACACTTTTTTCACTTGCACATTCCACTACACCAGAGAGGCACCTAGAGGTTATGTAACAGAGAAGCTGGAAAGGAACTACTTTCCATCCAGTGCTCAGATCTCAGTTATGATGAAAGCAAAAGTAAATACCAGTTAACAGCCTTGTGTAGGAAAGCTCAAAGCAACAACATTCCAGGAAGGGATGGGATGGCAAAGCATCCTTTTTTTTTTCAAGAGCTAGATACATTACATATGCCCCATTGGCAGAGGACCTTAACAAGGATCCTGGATTGACTTGGAAGCATCTTCCCCAACCTGATTTGGGCAAATCAATTTGAATGTTGCTTTGTATTAGTTGGACAGGTCTAAGCGAAACTGCTCTAGGATCCATGATGACTGTGCTGCAAGCTGCATCCAATCTAGTCTGCTTAATTTAATCACTCCACTGATTTCTAGGGGTCTGGGGAACTGGTTTTTCCTATTAGGACAGAAATAATGATTTCCCATTTTGCCTCCCAGCTTGAAGAACAGTGAGGGAGCTTGGCTGGTGGAATGGTCTGCTATTCCTACCCAGGCTTCAGTTTGACTAAAGATTAGCAATCACAATTCCTCCTGCGGTTTCTGCTTCACTGATACTCAAGATTTCAAACCAGCATGCTTTGAGTGGGTGTTCCACTGAACATTCTGAATAAAAGTTTTCACTCCTTGGTGAAAGTAGCTCGATTCACATACAGTGACAACCTCAATAAAACTGGGGATGGCAAAGAAATCCCAAATCACAGAAAGCCATTGTTATGGATGAAGCTGAAGAACACTAACTTTGAGGGTTTATTCAAACCTGAAGTGCAAAATGAGGCCCACTAAAAAACAATCCTATGCAAACCCCAAACTGGGGAGAAATCTGTAAAGTTGTTGGCATCCAACTGTGTCCATAATTATTTCACTTCATTCCAAAATAATATCCTTGAAACTACCAAACATGTACAGAAAAGGTATAATTCTGAAAATGGACAAAACATATTTATAAATGTGAATGAGTTACGAACAAACATTATATACTCCTTCTGAT